TTCGAAAAGGACCTTGTTTAATATCAGATCACTATAAAAGCTGAAGTATGATTCGGATTCAGCTCCTCTTAATCCTTTAGCAAAGTAGGGGTTTCTATTCTTTTAAACAGCCCTGACCTACACTACGTATGATTGTTAAACATAACACTTAAAAAATATTACTCATTTGCATCTTAGTTAGTTAGTTAGTTAGTTAGTTAGTTAGTTAGTTAGTTAGTTAGTTAGTTAGTTAGTTAGTTAGTTAGTTAGTTAGTTAGTTAGTTAGTTAGTTAGTTAGTTAGTTAGTTAGTTAGTTAGTTAGTAGTTAGTTAGTTAGTTAGTTAGTTAGTTAGTTAGTTAGTTAGTTAGTTAGTTAGTTAGTTAGTTAGTTAGTTAGTTAGTTAGTAGTAGTTAGTTAGTTAGTTAGTAGTTAGTTAGTTAGTTAGTTAGTTAGTTAGTTAGTTAGTTAGTTAGTTAGTTAGTTAGTTAGTTAGTTAGTTAGTTAGTTAGTTAGTTAGTTAGTTAGTTAGTTAGTTAGTTGTTAGTTAGTTAGTAGTTAGTTAGTAGTTAGTTAGTTAGTTAGTTAGTAGTTAGTTAGTTAGTTAGTTAGTTAGTTAGTAGTTAGTTAGTTAGTTAGTTAGTTAGTTAGTTAGTAGTAGTTAGTTAGTTAGTAGTTAGTTAGTTAGTTAGTTAGTAGTAGTTAGTTAGTTAGTTAGTTAGTAGTTAGTTAGTTAGTTAGTAGTTAGTTAGTTAGTTAGTTAGTTAGTTAGTAGTTAGTAGTTAGTTAGTAGTTAGTTAGTTTAGTAGTAGTTAGTTAGTTAGTTAGTTAGTTAGTTAGTTAGTTAGTTAGTTAGTTAGTTAGTTAGTTAGTTAGTTAGTTAGTTAGTTAGTAGTTAGTTAGTTAGTTAGTTAGTTAGTTAGTTAGTTAGTTAGTTAGTTAGTTAGTGTAGTTAGTTAGAGTTAGTTAGTTAGTTAGTTAGTTAGTAGTTAGTTAGTTAGTTAGTTAGTTAGTTAGTTAGTAGTTAGTTAGTTAGTTAGTAGTTAGTTAGTTAGTTAGTAGTTAGTTAGTTAGTTAGTTAGTAGTTAGTTAGTTAGTTAGTTAGTTAGTTAGTTAGTTAGTTAGTTAGTTAGTTGTTTTTGTTCGTTTCGTTCGTTTTAGTTAGTTCTAGTTTCGTTAGTTCGTTCGTTTTGTTAGTAGTTTTTGTTCGTTCGTCTGTTTCGTTCGTTGTTCGTTCGTTTTTCTCTAGTTAGTTAGTTAGGTCTTCCTTCGTTCGTTCTGTTTTGTTAGTTTAGTTTAGTTTCCTTTTTTTTTTTGTTGTTTTATTTTCTCTATCAATATCGTTTATTCCCCAGTGCCTACTACATATACTGACTTTTAACTTTAATTTTTTTTTGTTGGAGACACGGTTTCATTCATTTTTTCTATCTGTTCCAATATCATGCAACTTTGCTTTTTTTTAGTCACAAAAACAAATAAATTCATCAAAGACCAACAAAAAATTAAAGCAAAATTTATATGGTCTGGCCAACTTTTAGGTGTATTTTTTTATTTGCCCCACAAAGTCAATGAACTTTCAGAGATATTATTTTTTTAGGCTTTAATAACTTTTTTATTTTTTGTTATTCCTTTTGGGAAAATCCTTTGCTATAACAAGCCTTCACTTTTACACTCTCCTATGTATATGGCCAGTCTGCGATAATGAAAAAAGTTAAGAAAATAAAAAAAAATATGTTGAATAAAATGTTATTGTTGCTGTTGGTGTTTTTGATTGTCTGCAGCCATTTGACTATCTGCAGAATTTTATGCCACACTTTGACAGGTGACTAATTGGCAATTTTGTCACTATCATTTGACTTGAATGAAGACTAGACCAAATAAAATATACTCTTACCTACAATATACTAACAAGTATTTTTTTAACCAGTTTTTTTTTTCAATTTTTTTCCTCAGACTTAATTTTTTGTTTGTAATAACTTGGGTTTATTTTTATATAACTTTTTTGTGATTTCATTTCATCCTACAAATAACAAACAACTACTTGAGCACACATTTCTGTGTCTAGTTGTGTGTGTCTGTGTTGGCGCTTTTTCCATAATATTTAGTTGTTTGGTTGCAATTTTTCCATATAAAAGTATTTTTTATTATTTTTGTTATTTCTAACGTGTGTTGTAACTAACATTCAGTTACCAGTCTGGAGAGTAAATCAGAGTTATATAAAACTTCGTCTACTTATTCCACAAGTAGTGGCAGCAGTCGCAGTAGCATCAGCAAGTGAGTAGTGGCACTTTTTTCCTAAAACTGCTCTTGCACTTGACTGCTATGTTTCTGCTGGTTGCTTGGTTGGTTCGATGGCTGTGGTATGGTCATGTGCAGCATGGTGTTTTAGTTATTCTCATCCATAAATACCAACATGTTGTAGTATGTCAATGTACTATGGACTTTAAGCTGGGAAAATATATGCTCTCAAGGATAATTTAAATGTCACAAAGAAAATTTAAACAGTAATCGATTTTTTTCGATGTTTAGGTGGAGTGAGTTAAATTAAACTGAGCCTGAGGGTTTTCAATTGTAGCGGGTGGAATGGTATATTGGAGCCAATTTAATAAAATTTGAGAAATTTAAACTTTCTGTAGTAAGACTAACACTATAAATGAATTCAAATGAACACTGGTAGTTAAGGAAAAGGATTTGGAAACAATATGGATCTTAATAAGGATATCGAAACGAAATGGAAAAAGTAAATTTCTTTAATTTAAAACCCATTGTGCATAGTTTCGAATAAAGTAATGTTTATAAAGAACAAGAAAAAATAAAATCAAACTGTTTTCGTGGAGTAAAAAAATTAAAAGCTGACAGTTGAGTGATGCTTTTTAAGTATCACTTGAAATGCATTTTTTAGATGAGTATCGTAGTTCGGATCTGTGTGTTTGTGTTTGTCGTTTCTTGTACTGGCTAAGACTGCTTTTGCTACTGTCACTAGAGCCGTTGTTATTGTTCCTGTTTTCTGCTATCTGCTATCGAAAAAGAATGAGATCGTATTGGTGACGTTATTACTTTGGTGTCTATATTTGTTACAAATAACATTGTATTCCTTCATTCATCTCGTTCGTTCGCCCGTCCTTCTATGTGTCTCACTGCCAGTTTAGTTGTTTGTTTTTTTGCAATGCCATGAGTTTGTTTAAAAATTGTTACTAAACTGACATTTAGCAATGATAGCTGGTTGGTTGGTGATGGCGATGTCATTGGTAACGTCAAAGTCATTTTTGTAGTACAGTGCAGGTGTTAGTGGTGGTGATGTTGGTGGTTAGTAAGTAGCAACAGCTCAGCAACCTTCATGGCTGCAGTAGTGGTAATCAATGTTAATGGTGTAAATATTTCTTTAGTAGCATTTTGAAAAATAATATGAATAGATAGAAAAAATACAAAAAAACAAACTAAATAAGTTATTGGTATTATTATTATTTTTTTGCAGTTGAGCTAGACATTGTATTAAGTTTTTTTTTTTTTTTTTCTTAACTCATCATTTTAACAAATAATCATTCAAGTAGGCAGCCAGCATTGGCTGGCGGTAATCATGACGAAATGTAGGTGGGGTATAAGGAGGTATCTTTATATCAATATGGGTGTAAAATAAAATTGATGTGTTGAATGGGTTTGTTTTCTTTTTTTTTTTCAATGCAAAAGTTGTTTACTATTTTAAGGATGATGTGGAAAAATAATCAATATTAAAAGGGATAATAAATTGATATTGGTTATAAATAGAAGTGTAAGGGATAAAGGATTTTAGTTTTATTCTAATAAGAAAAATAAACATAAATTAAAGTGAAATTAAATTATTGTATCAAGGAAGAGATAAAATGGATTTTTAAGGGAATTCTTGAAAATAAAGGGATTTAAATTACATATATATATATATGTATATATACGTCACGTTATTGAGTGACTGATCCATTATCTACCTGAATCTAGAACCGTAAAATTAACCTAAAACGTATGTTTAGTGAAAGAGTTTCACCAAAGAAGAAAAAAAATTATTTCGGTACTTTGTAGCATATTATTTTCATTTCAGGAATTCGGAACTTTTTTTAAAATTTGGTACTTTTTTAATTAAATGGTTTCTATGGACTGCACCACTATAATGCGGAGGGTATTATGCCTATGTTCTAAATATAGGTTATACAATGATCGTTCAGAATTATGCCCGTCCGTACCTTTGTCTGTCCGTCTGAGTGTATGTAACGAAACGAAACGAACTAACTAAACTAACTAACTAACTAACTAACTACTAACTAACTAACTAACTAACGACTCTAACTAACTACTAACTACGAAATAACTAACTAACTAACTAACTAACTAACTAACTAACTAACTAACTAACTAACTAACTAACTAACTAACTAACTACTACTACCTAACTAACTAACTAACTAACTAACTAACTAACTAACTAACTAACTAATAACTACTAACTTAACTAACTAACTAACTAACTAACTAACTAACTAACTAACCTAACTAACTAACTAACTAACTAACTAACTAACTAACAACTAACTAACTAACTAACTAACTAACGTAACTAACTAACGAACTAACTAACTAGCACTAACTAACTAACTAAACTAACTATACCTAACTAACTAACTAACTACTAACTAACTAACTAACTAATTAACAAATTATCAAAATAATATTTTTCAAAATAAGATATGGTGAAGGGTACACTTAGCGCTCGCGGTCTTGATTGATTGAATGATAATCTCTTAAAATCACTTTTTGGTACTTTTTCCTTCTTTAAATTGTATTTTTGAATTTAAATTTGATTAATATTAATTAAAATAAATTAGCGTATGAGCAATATTTTTCATTGTTTTCAAAACAATTAGATTTAAACTTAATTCAATTCATATTCATGTTAAAATTTAAAACTTTTTACTTTATAACCTCTTTTAAACAAAATGCTTTTGTTCAAATTAACATTTATTTAATATTGTATTTATTCTCCTTTCTTTTACAGGTAATTATAGAATGTCTTGAAATGAACCCAAACAAATTTTGAAAGTATACTTTGTGGTAAGCCTTATATTAAGCTATTTACATAAAGTACGCAAAAATAAAAATACAAAGATGAATTGTGCGGCAGTAGTGAATTTTGTACTCCCTGCACTTAGTGCTAATTATTATTACAAGCAAAAAGCAACATATAATTGAATACACGGACATAAAAGTTTCGTCCTTAAAAAATTCATACTAACAATATTTATATATACTTGAAAAAGTCTCAAATGCAACACTCTGCTGTAGGGTGTAATCAAGTAAATTATTAAAAGAATATAAATAAATATCTTGAAGAAAAAAAAATTAAAAACAATTAAAATTATCAAACTCTTATTATTTTTATTTTATTTTGTTTTGCGTCAGACACAAGAAAAGCACAATGCATTAATAAATTAAATAAACAGCCTCAAGGCATGTCTAACATTTTTTTTTAATTATTTATATTTTGTAACCCAACCTAGGGCAGCACAGGGAGGTACTAGGACAACGTTAAAAAAACGCCTACACCTTATACTTAAGTGTTACCAGAAAGAAAATGTAGACAAAAATTATTTATTTTTAATGAAATAAGGATTAAAAACATACAAAATTGTGTTTGACATTAAGCATATTTTAATGGAATAAAAAAAGGAAAAGGAATAATTTCCATTTTAATTTAAAAGGTGTTTTCAAACGTATTTATAAGAAATACCAACAATATTTTATAAAAAATTGTTCAAACAAAAATTGAGAAGTGGCTGTGTCGATTTTTATATAAACTTCGCCATAGTGTATTTTAAGAAATATATAAATATAAAACTTTTTTAAAAACTTTATTTTTTAATTTTATTCATAAATTGACAGATGGACATAGTTTATTTGACTCTTCACCAAGCACTAGGAATGCTCACCGAAGCTTGTAGTAATTAATAACATAGTGTTAACGTGAAATAGAGTTTTTATGTGATTGATAATTTTGTCAAGAAAGACAAAGATCGCCCTGGTCAGCCGAAAAAAGTTTGAAGACCAAGAACTAGAGTCATTACTCCTTTAAAATTGCTGCCAAATTCAACAAGAATTGGGAACTAATTAAGCACCAATTATAAAACTTTTCCTAACGGACCTTGAAGGAAATTTTCCAAGTCCAAAATGGTAATGATTCGATCAACCAACCGAATCGACAACAAAACCTAATATCCTTGGTGCTAAGGTAATGCCGTGTATTTGGTGGGGCCAAAAGGTCTTATCTATACCGAATGGGTTTGATTCCTCGGAAAGTAAGTTTTATGCTTGACTACACTCGACTACGTTGGCCTCCGGTAGGCTAGTGGTTCGTGTTGTAGTTGGTAGATGGAGGTGGAGGGTTAGTTCTCGGAGGAGAAACGGAGGACAAGCGAAGACGAACGAACTAAGCGAACGAACGAAAGAACGAACGAACTAACGAAACGAACGAAAGAAACGAACGAAAGAAACGAACGAACGAAGAAAGAACGAACGACGAACGAACGAACGAAACGAAAGAACGAACAACGAATGAACGAACGAAATAAACGAACGAGAACGAAGAACGAACGAACGAAACGAACTAACTAACTACTAACTAACAACTAACTAACTAACTAACTAACTACTAACTAACTACGAACTAACTAACTAACTAACTACTAACTAACTAACGAACTAACTAACTAACTAACTAACTAACTAACTAACTAACTAACTAACTAACTAACTAACTAACTAACTAACTACTACTAACTAACTAACTAACTAACTAACTACTAACTACTACTAACTAACTAACTAACTAACTAACTAAAAAAAACCAGTTTTAAGTTAAAACACCCAATATGAAACTATAGCAATTATTTTCTCTTTTGCTTAGCTGATGAAAAAATATACAAATTTCTGTCTCTCCATCTAATAATTGCATTTAATTATGTGCGAAAAAAACTAAAAAAATAATCTTCCATTTTTTAATTAATTCCATAGACTTTAATATTGTAAATCTTTTTCACTTTATTGTTTTCAATCGCTGCTGCTACTGCCACTGCTATAAGTAATTACAACGTCTTGTTAATTAAGATTCTTTCTTTTTTGGCCCGTTTTGTTTATTGCCTTTCAAAGTCTTTAACTTTAATTGTATTTTACACTCCGCCCCAGAAAGAAATCGATAGTTGTAGGATTTTTATTTTTTTGGTTTTTGTTTCTATTCATCTTATTTTACAAATAAATTAGAAATAGCTGTGATAAGTAGTAGTACTTGTTGTTGTTGCTGCTAAAGAAAATCTTATTATAATGCCACAATTCAACTTTAAGGAATCACAAACTGAAATTGGAAATAAATAGACATAAAAAGGAAGTTAAAATAACACGTAGTAGTATTTGCTAGCGTATAACAGTGAAGGGAAGAAAAAGAGAAATATCTAGATTTTGAGGAATAAAGATTTTAAGAACATTCACTGATTTTCAAATCAGGGGAAATTTAAGTTATTGTCAATATCCGAAGAGTTGCTTTATATAAGTACATGGACAGAGGGGCTCCATTAAACTCTACTTAAGATTCTATTCTAACCAAACTTTGAGGAGTCAACAATTATACAACTATAACTGTAATATTATCCCACAATTTATATTAAAACTCCCCCTCTTACCGATTGCATTCACACCATAATCACAAAAACTTAATTACAATAAAAATTGTATAAAATAAAAGAAAAACAACTTAAATAAAATCTCACCATTAGTAATATTACTAAAAAAAGACACTAAAAAGCCTAAAAGGAATAAAAATCAGCATCTCGTTGAAATAAAAACACATACACGTTCACAGTTTTCCCTAAAGAAACTCTAGGGTATTGGAAATAGAAAAAGGCTCACATAGCAGCAAATAAAATGTAAAAGATAATGCAGTAAAATACCAACACATTAGAGGAAAATATAATAAAAATTCAAACAAGTAAGGAAAAAAGCAAATCACATACAAACACACACATATACATATACACGTATTTAAAACATACATATTTAAAGTGTTTATGCAGTGATATAGTGTTAACACAGCTATTTGTCTGGGCTTTAGTCCTTTTTTATTTTTTAAATAAGTAAATATGAATGTGTGTGTGTGTGTCTTTATTTGTAAGGATTTTCGTTTATGTATTGGTATATATTGTGTTGTAAAGTGTAAATGTATGGATGGAAGGCAAAAGAAAATATTTAAAAGCAAGAAATTTTTAGTTTAAATTTTACATTGATATAGTGTAAAGCACATATTTAGTATGTATGAATTTATGTACAACCATACATATTTACACCAGTATGTACGTATGTAGGTGTATAAACATATGTATATGACTACAGGAATTGAATGAAATTGTCTACAATATTTCAACATACAAACATGCTTGCACTTTTACAGTAACGAAGAAAACTGTACGATTTTCTTCATAACATCTGAGATTTCAGATATCGTGTCCTGAAGTTTGAAAAATGCCATTTTTGGGCAAGGACAAGACATTTTTATTTATTAAGTGTGGAATGACATCTGAAAGTCCATCCTCTCAACTTTAAAATAAAGGCTTAACTTCTGTTATATCTTCTTTTTTCTTCGAGATATCTGCAATTAAAGCTTGAAAAACAAAAACCTCACCAATTTATTATTGTATCAAGCTATAGGTGAGAACACCACGAAGAGGAAAGAAGATATGTCAGATGTTAAGAATTTATTTTAAAACTGACAGAATGGACTTTTAGAAAACATTGTCTACAATAGCTCAACATACAAACATGCTTGCACTTTTTTAGTAACGATGAAAACTGTAGGATAAAACATTCCGAACAAAATGTTAACTCATGTTATATTATGCGAAAGGAGTGAGATTTTCTTTATCACATCTGAGATTTGAGATATCGTGTTTTGGAGTTTGAAATTTTTGGTCTTTTGATATGTTATAACAGCGCCAAGACATTTTAATGTATAAAATGTTGCATGGCATCTTAAAGCCCATACTCTTAACTTTAAAATAAAGGCTTAACATCTGACATATCTTCTTTCTTCTTCGAGATAATGTATAAAATGTTGCATGGCATCTTAAAGCCCATACTCTTAACTTTAAAATAAAGGCTTAACATCTGACATATCTTCTTTCTTCTTCGAGATATCTACAACTAAAGCTTGAAAAACAAAAATCAGTCAAGCTTTAGGTGAAAAAATCTAGAAAAGGAAAGACAGTATCAACAAAACGAATACCTGACGTCTGCTATAACGTCTGAAATAGGTTCAAAACTTTTTTTTTCAAAATTCAGGACACGATATCTTGAATCCGACATGTAATGGAGAAAAAGTTCCTATATTTTCATTTATAGAAACAATTTTTCTTCATTACTATATACAAATCTTATATGATCTCAAAAGAAAACTTAATGCGTAAGCTTGTAAAATAAATGTTGGCCCTTCACACTTAATAAATTTTAACAGAACAATTTAGCTTTGAGTAATAATTTCTAAAAACGCAAAGCACCGATGCCCATAACGGCTCCATATAGCCCTATATGTTCTTTAAATATATCGAAAGTCTTTTACTATCACACGGTAAATAATGTCACGAAACACCTCTTCCCCTCTTTAGGAATTTCGTTATTATACCTTACACCAATACAGTGGGGAGGGTATTATACGTTTGTGCTCATGTTTGTAATGCATAAAAATATTAGTCCTACACCTTAAAGTTTACCGATCGACTCAGAATCAATTTGTGAGTCGATTAAGGCATGTCCGTCTGGCTGGCTGTCCATGTAAACCTAATGCGCAAGCTTCAGGCCGGAATTTTCAAAATATTTTCATAAAATTTGGACCATAGATGTTTTTCAGCACAAGGATGATGTCTGTAGAAAATGGTTGAAATCGGTCCATTATTTCACCTAGCCCTCATACAACCTGACCTTCCGACTTGGACTCTAGCCCCAAATGAATAATTTTTTAAAATATACTCATGGTGTAGGGTTTCACATAGTCGGCTATGCATGACTATAATTTCCTATTTTTTTTTAAAGAAAATTAAAAAAACTT